GTTTCAGAGGTCATACTGCCTCCATCATCAGGGCGATGAGTATGAAGATTTCTGTCTTCTGGGTTGTTGCGCTGTGTAGTCTGGTCGATGTTTACCAAATATTCTGAGGTCATACTGCCGCCTTCATCAGGGCGATTTTTAGTATGAAGACTTCTGTCTTCTGGGTTGTTGCGCCGTATAGTCTGGTCGATGTTTACCAACGTTTCAGAGGTCATACTGCTTCCGTCATCAGGGCGAGTCATCGCAACAACCCAGAAGACAGAAACCTTCATGTGTAATGTTCTTTGATGCTCTTTACTTTGGTCTGGTTAATTTTTCTGTAGGTGATGCAGAAATCCTGTCGCTGTACTTTTATGTACGGGGAACTGACAGACAAGGAGACCATCGCTCGTATTGACGAGTGTCTGGAGAACCAGATTCACGACCAGTTCGAGATTCTCCTTTACAAGAAGAACAGTGAGTACACGTTCACTTGCCACTCTGAATTTTATCTGCTGTTCGATTTTTGATTACGCGCCTCTGACTTTCGCTTGTGTATTTATTAATGTTATATATTTCTTCTTGATCTTGGTGGTTGATTGCATTTCTGACATGGTTACAGCCATTACCTGATCCTGTAGAACTGTAAACTTATATAGACTTTAAACGCCCTGATGTATTAATGTACATAATATATATTTAGGCTTCTTGTAGTGGTTTTGAGTCTTGGTCCAATACATTTAATTTTTATATCTTTAATCGTTTTTATAATTAACATAAAATATGATACATACATGTATAAACTTATCGTGATTTTCTGACTACAAGTTATACCAAACGTTTCCTGCATATATTCCACAGAAATTACGTCTTTATTAGTCATGCCCTTAAAGGGAATAGATTATAACGATCTCTCGTGAGCGAAAATTGATTCAATGGCTGTAGGGAACGATCGAGCGTTTATATAATCTGATATGTTAAGGCAAAACAAATTGAAGGCCTGTAATTGCAGTATGAATTGCAAAAACACAAATTAATTCTTGCAGTGTAAGTTAGCTTTAATTAGACTTTTGAAAGTACATCAACGCCCACGTTATTAAAGGAAGGGAGAACTATAGTTATGTGTTTGTCATTGCTTGAATAATTTCTTCTGGGTACAATAATTATTAGTGTAAAAACATTCACATATGAGGGTATCATATTAAAGTAATCATTGAAGTCTCGTTAATAGAATATTTATAAGACGGGTAAAAACGTGTTATAATATGAATTTATAATAAAATAAGCGAATTTTCGCCAAATTATCGCCTTCTTTTCAGATTATTGGCATTTTATCCCCAAATTTATTTTCGTACTCTGAGATATTTGAACAAGGCTACAGTGGTTTTTAAAATTGTAATTTGTAAGAACAAGGTAAAAAATATTGCTATCAGTATATTGGACAAATCAGCTGTTAAGGCCAGTTGACTTCTGTAATATTTTGTCATGACACGTGTAACGTTTGGGCTGAAATTTGTCTTTATTCTGTGTACTCATATCATAGCATTTTATAAGTTGGCCCATGGAATATGGTCCTTTCTAATAAGCTAAGAGTTCTTGAGATAGTCACAGATGATCCGCCTTTTATGGAACAAAACTTTCGTTACCGTGTTGACCAGAGGCCACTACAGTCGAGGTCCCGGGCGAAACGATCCCGGTCCATTTTTTCCCACGCGACTTCCGTAAAACGAGTAGGAACCTATTTACTCCGATGTTCACAAGTTTCAAAAATTCCTTTCGCCTCTTTTGTTTCCCCTCAACTCTCTCTGCCCTCTGCTGTTTTGATAATAAACTATCTTGCATTCTTTAGTCTTATTTCGATTTTTAATTTGCGATAATTTAGTTCTAAATTATTCCCAGGTCAGTAGATTTCTTATTTCATCATTTCGTATTCTGTACCGTAAATTTCATCTGGAATGTTGCGCCGTGTAGTCTGGTAGAAATTGACCGACGTTTCAGAAGGGCTTAACCCTTCCATCATCACAGCATCCCACCTCCAAAACGTCGGACAGTTCCTATAAGACTATACGGTGCAATATTACGTATAAATCATTTCATATTTTTTACCTAGGAACTTGAAATCTGTCTTTCGTGGAACAATGACCTAAGTAGCTTCATATATGCAGGTTTTACTTTCTTATCGTAAAAAACAACAACATTATTGTACGTTTTGTATAAAGTGTTGTTTGAGATGATAATGTTGCGTCATATTGTGATGATTATAATTGTTTAATTTTAACCGTCTAATCACAATAAAATATTTTATTAAAAATTAAAATTAATATTTTAATATTTAATAAAATATTTTATTGTGATTAGACGGTTAAAATTAAACAATGACAAAGTGTTGTTTGTTAAATAGCTTATTTGTTTAAGAATTAATTGGATCTTTTGTGTGTATTGGACCAAGACGTTATTTAAAACAATTTTGTAAACATTTGTACATACACAAACTACGCTTGATATTAAATGGCCCTAGGCCCTACTTGCATTGAAGTTGCCATGAGCATGGGAGTTTTACTGACATGATCAACGCACCGTCATGGAACGTGCATCTAGCTGTAAATATCATTGCTTTAAAGGAAGGATTTTTATGGCGATTAAGAAGATTTATTTCTTATTTTATAAAAGTTACTCAGTAACTGAGTTTCTGAATATTTGTGTGTATATTTTAATATCATTTTAACAAAGGGGTAAAATATTTCATTAGATACAATCACACGAATTAATATCAGATTTATTCATATGGGACGCGATTAATATTAGACTTTACAGGACGCTAATTTTCTTGTAGGAAAATTGTATTTAGAAAGGATTTTTGTTGTGACCTTTGAAACCATGCATAGGTCACCATAATTAATTTAAAAACAGTTGAGGAAAAAGTTCATAACAAAGTAAAAATTTCAGTTTTTTGAGAAAGCAAATAGAATTTTAATATTTTATCTGTGCAGTTTTGTAAAAACGTTTGTAATTCTCTCGAATATATATCGATTTTATTGTTGTAGTGACAAAAGGAGAATTTAACATTTAATTTATATAAATTTATTACTAAATTTCTCGGAAATAACGAACATGCTTAGTTTCTCTGAAAAGGAAAATTAGTTGTTTAGGTTATGAAACATTTTCAATTGTTTACGTTCTTAATGATACAGCTCACGTCGGTATTGATCTACGCCTGTACCATTAAGGATGGGCTTTGTTGTGTCTATCCCAATGTAAATATCCCGGCTTTGTAAAAAATCTTACCCTGCAATGACCAACATATGTGTAAACAAGAGGAAATGTTTGTATGTGACTAAAAGAGTTAAAATTATTCGCGAATTATATAGCGTAAAAAAAATTCTGTTTGTAAAAAAAAAATGAAATTATCTTATCGCCATTTACAATTTTGACTTTGTGGATGAACAAAGAGCAAATATTATCAGGGTTCCCGGAGATTCACACTTCTAATAAAAAATAATGATAAAATATAGGTTTGGAGTCATTGACAAACTATTATTGGAATTGAAATTATTTCTGAAAAGCCGGTTCAATATCAGATGCGTCTGTGAACAAATAAACAGTTACTGAACGTAGGCGACATTATATTTAATGATATAAGATAAATAAAAAATAAAATAAAGATAAATAAATCTTAGAAAGAAGAATGTAAAATGGATTAAATAAACTTCTATCCTGAATTAAGTTTGAAGTAAAGAAAGTAATAATTAGTATATGTACATGTCTATATTTTAAAATCATTTTATGCATTATTTGAAATTTTGTCATTTTTTTTCAATATTTTTGATAAACACTTGAACTAAAGCATGTAATTATATTAGATTCTTTATTAATATCTTACATATCATATAATCGTTCCTTATTATTTTGTATGTTATTTGAGAACGTGAGTTTTTCTCTATTTTATAGTGTGTTTACAGAAACACGTGTAAGCATATATTTTTAAGTGCAGATATATTTTTTCATACATACTTCCATACAAAGTATTTTGTTCATCTACGGGCTCAATGCTACGATATTGGCCCGAAGGGTTTAAGCAGATTTCCACATAGTTTGACTTGCATCTTACAAAATACTGAATTTGTTCACCGTAAATTATAACCTGACCTGGCGCAGTTATACACACAACAACATTGTTATTTTGAAATGGGAAAATTCCACAATCAATGGTCTCCTTGAGCGAGGACTTCACACTTTGTTTTTCAGTGTGAAGTGAAGGTAACATGGATTGAAGTCAGGTGACGTAGGGGGACACGATTTTCGAGCTCTCACAATATTTCATAGTTGATGTAATGTAATCGTGTTCGTATTGTTTTTTTATTAGGAAGATAAACGGAGTCTGCATTGTTTTATGTGTATTAAGTAAACACTAGATTTTAAACTTATAGATACTATATTTGATCCACCACATGGAATTAATAAGTGTCGAAACTGTTTTATTGATACAATATTTTATTTTCCGTCTATACACAAACTTAAAATAATGTTGTTTAAAATTACTTAAAATTATAACATTCTCAGTAGATACTGCATCTTGTTATATATTTTTTTTGTATTACTTGTATTATTTTGTAATACAAAAAATGTAACAAGATGCAGTATCTACTGAGAATGTTATAATTTTAAGTAATTTTAAACAACATTATTTTAAGTTTGTGTATAGACGGAAAATAAAATATTGTATCAATAAAACACAAACATGACGCAATTAAGATATAAAAAAAATAATTTTTAGATATTAACTCTAATGAAAAGTCAATCTTACTTAGTCGTTCTTTCTGATTTCAGTTGTATCTAGAATCACGTTATTAGAATCGAGAAAATTCTGTTCCCTGAAATTACAACTGCGTCGACTGGATTAAAATTATTTGTGTTCTGGTATATTTATGGCGAGCTCTTCACAAGACAGTAATGAAAATCTGCGTTAAAAATAAAGTTGAGAGGTTCTTGACTGGTTCAGCCTCTCTAGACGTACTCTCCTTTGTGAATTAATTTACCTGGTAATGTAATTTAGTATATGTTCACTGCTGTTAAACGCGGCAATGAAACATCACGTGACTACACTTTCTTTCGGAGTTTAAAAGAGACAGGTTCTTCACGATGACAGTTTTAAACAAATATTTTACGACAAAAATACTTTTTTTAACATAGAATTTTAATGAATCACTGAATTTCTCTTGAGAACTGCACTGAACATCGAGTTACGAGTTACTTCTCAACCAAGAATGTTATCAGTATAATTTCGGCGACGAAGTAAGGACCGTAGGTTTTCGGGTTAAGCGACGATTTTCCGTGGGAGAAGTAAAATATTTAGAGGCGTTTAAATAACAAATATTTCACTGTGCATAAATGCATGAATGAATCTTATAACAGCTGTAGACACGAATTTGTTTATTGTGTCTTAAGTGATGTGACATCGTGATACGCACAAATATTTA